TGATAATGAAAATGGAACTACCAGAGTTTGATCACTCCTTTATAAAAATAAACTGTTTTCCTTATTTTCCCCTGAACAAATTAATTACAGTACACTTGTCGTCTGCCACAGAACCTTTTAAATGTTGTGAAATAAAAATGAACATGAAAGACAGTCTTTAAGTAGAGAAGTTATAAGGTAATATGTATCTGAGAGGTACATATGGAAATGGAGAAGAATTTTGCTTCGGTTAAAAAGCAATAATAATAAAATAAACATGGGATTGAAGGGGAATTAGGAATCAATTACACATGTATATATGGACCAGATCTTTTTTTTTTTTTTTTTAAGCAACTTTCTGTGCATCTCCACACATATGTCAACAGTACAGAAACCCTAAAGAGGCCAAGGGCACTTAGCAATTGTTCTTTGTGCTAGGGATAGCTATGAGTCTGGGATGTCAAAATACATTTACGGACTTAACAGAACATGTTTGTGTTTAAAATGTATTCAAAAGGACCACTACAGAAAAGTCAGTGACTTTTGGTGAATGACTTTTTTCTATGGGAATAAACAATGGGACCGGCCAGTTTTCCTCAAATTATATTTCAATGGTACCTGCATCAAGACAATGAGGGAGGATTCTGTGAAATGCAGGTAGCAGGGCACCCTCCAGACCCAGCAAATCAGCATCACTGAGTGTAAGGTTTGATGATCTGAACTTTGATAAACTTTCTGGGTAATCTGTTACATATGTTCAGGCTTTTGAACCTTTGGTCACCTGGAAGAACACCAAAACAAAACAAAACCAGTTGACTGAAGAAGAGAAGTGGGAGACTGACTTTTTTCGCCGTAAATTTTTTTGTGCCTTTTGAATTAATTTTTCACAAACAACACTTAACATGATAAGCATCATATTTATATTTGCACACCCAGAACCAGGCAAAGCATCTGGAAGTAGGATAAGAAAATGTTTGTGGATTAGGTCATAAATGGTGTAGTTTATAATAAATAATATAAGTAACACATTTTACGCCCCTGTTTCCTCTCCTTTCCTGCTGACCTTCTCAAAAGCAACATTACTGCATTGCCAGCTGCTTTTGCACTGAGACCGATGTTTTCCTCCTTATTCTTCTTTGTAGTGATTCATGTATCTCCAATACCTGGCTGGAACTTACTAGATTCACATGGTTGAGGCTGGAAAGTGTAGATAAAGCTTCCCGCATTTTTCTCTTAGTCATGCTTTTACAAATGATATCTGTTTGCTCTCTCATAAATACCAGTGTATATGATATTTGGCATTTAAGTTTTGCCTTTTACAGAAAAATAATCATAGTAAGTATGTTGTTATAGATGTCTGTGTCTATCAGCCTAGGAAGAATTGTTTTCATCTGTTAGATAAACTTTATACCTTTGGCAGACTTTCCAATGAGATGAGTTTTAAGCAGCTAATTAGTCTTTTTGGTAACAACTAATTACTTACAGTATGCATGTAGCAAAAACTGTTGTAGAAATGCAATTGTAACTTCATTGACATTTTCTGTCTTATTGGATCCTGCATGTGTAATAAAGATAACTACTTTGATACATTTATCCTTTTTTAAAAAGGCAAACAAATAAATAAATCCTTAGCTCTAAAGCACTCTTAAAGTTATAAAGGCATCTTCTTTAGGAAAAGACTAATAACTATTTTCCCTGAACTGGTAACTCTTTCAAGCTTCTTCGTGTCTTTCTACTCCATGCAGAAACAGGTGCCAAGAAATAAAGTGACATTATTGTTGTCTTAGGTCAGAACAGGAACAAGAAAGAAATACTGTCTAGATAGCAAGCTAATTATTTTACCAAAACAGAGTCACTATATGTCCTTTCTCACTAGCCCTGTTGTTTGTTGCGCATACCTTCCTAAGCAAAAATTAATAAAGACAACTTGGAGAGGCTACAGGTTCAGCAAAAGATACAGAATATTCCATGTACAGAGAGGATATTGTGATTCACACACACACACAAAGTTTAAAAAGGAATTATTTGGGGCACCTGGGTGGCTCAGTCAGTTAAGCGTCTGACTTTGGCTCAGGTCATAATCTCACGGTTGGTGGTTTCAAGCCCCGTGTCAGGCTCTGTGCAGACAGCTAGCCCAGAGCCTGGAACCTAATTCAAATTCTGTATCTCCATCTCTCTCTGACCCTCCCCTGCTCACGCTGTCTCTCTCTCTGTGTCAGAAGTAAATAAAACATTAAAAAATTTTTAAAGAAATAAATTATTTTATGTCCTGACCAATTATGTTCCCTTTATGGCCTTGTATTTCTTAGAAGAACAAAACAAACCCCAGGCTTGAGTCCCAAGTCTAAACATGTTGTGAGGTAACACACATTGCTTATGGTGCACTTTGCATTATGGTAAAGCAGATATACAAAAATAGCATTGAAAACCTAAGGACGTTTCCATGACTGGTGACCAAGTGGCTTGAATTTTATAGGATTAAGTTCAAAACCTTATATGTATTAACTTAATTCTTGCCAACTTTCAGGAAAAGCAATGTCATTAACTAGCTCCTAACTCATTCTGAATTGCCTGTGTTTTTGCTAGAAAGGGTAGCATTTTTGGGGGGAGGTACCTGGGTGCTCAGTCGGTTGAGTGTCTGACTTCAGCTCAGGGCATGGCCTCATGGTTGGTGGGTTTGAGCCCCAGACTGGGCTCTGTGCTGACAGCTGAGAGTCCAGAGCCTGCTTCAGAGTCTGTGTCTCCCTCTATCTCTGCACCTCCCCACCTCATGTGCGCTCACTTGCGCGCTCTCTCTCTCTCTCTCTCAAAAATAGACATTAAAAAAAGAAAAAAGTAGCATTTTTTTTTTACCTTCTATACACATATAGGTAAAAAATGACACTCTCCTTTAAATGTCACAGAATAAAATGTTTTCTGGGCTGTGGGTCCTGGGTGGCTCAATTGATTGTCAGACTTGTTGAGCATCGGACTTCGGCTCAGGTCATGATCCCTGCTTTGTGGGTTTGAGCTCTCATGAAGGCTCAGAGCCTGGAGCCTGCTTTGGATTCTGTGTCTCCCTGTCTCTCGCTGCCCCTCCTGGTTCGCTCTGTTTCTCTTTCTCTCAAAACTAAATAAAAACATTAAAAATTTAAAAAGTAAAAATAAAATGTTCTCTGGGTTGAAAAGTAAATTCAAACGGAGGTCAAATGTATTGGTACCTCAAAGTCACACAGCATCTCCATATTTCCCATTCTATGCCCAATGCAGATGTTATTCAAGTGAAATATAGACACATAGATATATTGATAAATCTCTCATAAATAAAGCAAAAATTTGAACTAATGACTAACTGGGTTAATATATATATATAATATATGTATAATATTGTATTAAAATTTTTCCTTTAATAGACAGCTTGAAATATCATTTTGGTATTGTTGTTGAGCTATACTGAAAAATGTGGTTTTTAATACGAACCTCTAAGAAACACTAGAAAAGAACTTCCAAATGTAACCATGATTTTCTTAAGTCTATCAATAACTGATTTTTGATACATTTTGGAGAAAAGGAAGGGAAGTAAAAGTCATAGGATTGAAGATACTATAAAAATAATCAGAAAGTTAAATTTTAAAAGTCTCATTTTTCAGAAATACCCAAAATGGTAATGAAAGTCTTACTTATTAATTTCATAAGTGTGTCAGTCTGCTGATAGCTATTTAAAGTCACCCTCAAAGTATTTTGTTTGTGAAAGTTCTAAGATTTAATACATGTTCAGGAAGAGTGAATAGAAATACAATTAAATATTCTTGATCACAGTTGAAGCTTTTCATATGAAAGCCAGCAGGACTTATTCTATAGAATAAAGGATATCACTGTTTCCTCTTATGTATAATTGTAAGTAATTAGATTTTTTTCTGATTCATTGTATCCAACCTTAATATAACCATTCCCTCATCTCTGCTACTTTACCTCAATAAATTTTCTTGAATATTTCTTTCCGTCTCTAATGAATGAACCTATTATATTCATTATTATGATGATTATAATAACTATTAATACTATTCATTCACATGAAATTATATATTTTAGGAAAGTAATATTATCACAGGAATTATTATTAATGATCTTTTTTTATAGCAACATAAATGAGACAATGGTTTCTTTGCCATTAAAAATCTCATGTGGAATTATTTCCATTTGTCAACACTTCACCAACAAAAACTATTTGTATTCACTTGAAGCAGTGGCTTTTAAAAAGCCCATTCTATATTCCTGACCAAAAATTAATCAAACCAAAGAATTTACATTTATTTTATTATAAAGAAAATACTGTGATTTTGTTCTCAATGCATGGATTCAACCTAGGTCAGCTGCTTCCATAGAAGAGTTGATTTTATCTAGCCAAACATTGAAAACTGTCTTAAAGGAGGTATTTGATCCTGGAAATAGTACCCCCAATGGAAAAGGGCTTGAGAGTGTTATTGATGGGAAATAGTTAATGCTTATTTTTGTAAAAATTCAGTCCCTAGTCCTCTGTAATTATGGCCTCTAATAAATACAAATCAGAGGATATTCATTTAATGCTATTATTGGTGATATCATTTATATTCTTTAACTTGAAGTGCTACATTAGAAGTCAAATCAAGTAGATTGAAATTATAAAATTCCAACCTCCAGAGATTCTGCTGCCACAAATTATGATGAATAGATAACATAAGATGAAGCCATTATGTGTGGGCATCTAGGACGTTATTCAGCATCAAACTAATTGCACCAACATGGAAATACGGTAGTTGGACTCATTTTGTATTATGAAATATGTTAAAATCTCAGAAAAAATGTTCACATCTTACTAATAACACATCCTCTAGTATGCATTAATATAATGAGAGTATCTTGGATATATCCACAGTACCAAAACATGTCATGAATTGAAACCCTGTGCAAAGACTAATTGGAACTAGCATTGCTATGATTGTACTGCCCCCTTAGGGTTGAAATAACTTGTGTTTACACTGAAGTTCATTTGCCTTTTTCAGATCAGCATTTTCATGACACATCTGTCAAACTATGGGAATGATCGACTGGGACTATATACCTTTGTTAATCTGGCCAACTTCGTGCAGACCTGGACCAACCTGCGACTTCAGACTCTGCCTCCAGCACAGCTGGCTCACAAGTATTTTGAGCTCTTTCCAGATCAAAAAGACCCTCTCTGGCAGGTAATATTGGTTCAATAATTGGTATAATTAAGTAACTCCATAAGCACATCTTGGAATTTTGTATAATCCAAATCTGAAAAGTGAAAGCATCTTTGGGGGTAGGGGGAATACATTTTGGAAATATTAGTAGAGTTGAGAAACTACTTCTTCTTGAATTGCATTTTTGTATTATTGCTTTGTAGTTGGCCAAATTCTCTGTTCCTATCCCCATTAGAAATTACAAAATTCTAAAAGTTCAGTGGGGGGTTCAATGGATGCCATGTTTTCAGTCAAGAGTGAGGGATCAATTTGCAGACTGCAATAGGCTGAAAAGAGTAGAAGAATGGTAAATAGGTTATATGCTAGGCAGGTAGCCAGCTAGTATACCTAGAGCACATCCTTCTCTCTCTAATGACTAAACGACATCAGAGGGATAGGGGAAAAGAGTTCAGAACTGACCGTCTGCTTTCTAAACCACGGGGTACACTGCAGCTGCAGAATATGGTAAGTGTAAGTTGGCAATTGCTTTGGATATGGGAAAGTGTTTGATGGCAAAATTACTGAGCTTTTTAAGAAAAAATATTACACAAACATGGCACTTTCAAACTATTTTAGGAGTACTCAGATTTCAAAGCATTCTCATGTGTCCTAGAATTGCAGAAACATACTTTGAACTTAAAGAGCCCCCTCCATACTCTGGGGAAAGTAATAATCTTAGGAAATAATTGTGTAGTGTTTATTATGTGTCACACTGGGGTCTTTACATGTTAACTAACCTGTGTGGTAGGTATGGTTTATTATCCCCATTTTACAAATGAAGAAACTAAGGCATGGAATTGCTAAGACACTTATACAAGGTCACTGTGTGAATCAGTTCCAGGTCATCTGGCTCCAGAGGCTGTGCTCTTATATACTGCTCTAAATGAGAGTTACTGAGCTACTAGAAAGTTGCTAATAGAGCCAATGGTACAATAATAGCAATCATCAGGAGAACTGAGTAAACTTCATGGATTGAGGTTGCAGTAAGCTCTGAACTATATACTCAAAATAGTTCAGCTTTGAACATGAGCTAATTACCACCTGAGCACAAACAGATAACTCCAAGAAGAGACAGAAGTATACATTTTAGTATGTGAAAGTTGGTGATTCTGGAATTATCACTACATATTCCTCTGCAGTTGCTATAATGCACATCTTTTTTTCCTTAACCACTACAAAATATCACCAAATGTTAGCCACTGGAAAGACATGTAATTTTCCTGCTGATTTAACACCTTACTTTTAAACTAAAATCATTATTATTTCAGGTGACAGGTTTGAAACAACTCTTTTTAACAGCACCCAAAAAGAATACCCTCACTTTAGTCTTACCATCTGCTGCTTATTGTAAATAAGCAGGAAGTTTCTTTAACTACACATATCAATAGTATTAATTGAATAGAAGTGTGGTCCTGAGTGCCTATATCTGAAGTAGTATTAAACAGTACTTTTAATTCTTCACATAATGTGCACTTTGTAGTTGAAATTAAGGATGTTCTTGATACCTCTTGCATAGTGGGTTTGGTTTATGTACTATACACCAAGAGTAGATCCCTAAGATAGTATTTCACCTTCATTTTACTCTTTTGCTGAAATTTTATGCTTTTTTGCATTATATTCTGCAAAGCTATATATAATAAATATATATATTTACTGACCTCTGAAGGCAGCTGAAAGGAATCTGCTGCCTCTTTAAATAGTATTATTAAGGCCAGATCTGTATCTCTTTGAAGCACAGCAAAACAGCTCAAAGTTATTTGGAATAAAAATCTCACACGTTTTATTTCAGTTACTTATGGAATGCTTAGAGTGTATATTCTTTTAGGTTAGCAGGAAACATAGTCTCTGCCCCCACACTACATTGGAGCTCACCATTTTAAAGCACACACACATGCACGTGCACACACACACACACACACACACACACACTTAAGATGTAGAACTGCCAAAAGCAGAAAGAGCAGAAAAAAATACTAAATCCTCAGTGCTATGAGGCTGTCTCCCAAACCCTCAGCAGACATAATTTCAGGAGAGAAAGGGTTACTTAAAACCTTCCATGAGGCCACTTCAAGGCTTTCATTTAAAAGAAGCCGAATAGCTTTGTTTCCTGGAATATCTTTTTAAGGACAGAAGTTGAAAATCTCTAGCATACAGTGGCCACTCACCAAAAAATACATCTCTGTATTCTTATCCCATTTAGAATCCTTGTGATGACAAACGCCACAGAGACATTTGGTCTAAAGAAAAAACCTGTGATCGCTTACCAAAATTCTTGGTAATAGGACCCCAGAAAACTGGTGAGAGCTTTTTGTTATGATTAACCAAACAGTATAAAACTCCTGATGACTAGACAGTGAGTTCTTGTCACAATGAGTTTTCATAATTCCTATATATACTGATGAATGAATAACACATTTGTTCTCTGACATAATGTTTGTTTAGCTTGATATTGTATTTAAATGCTTGTCAAGGAATTTTTTTTTATTAAAATCAATAAATTTTTATTTAAGAATTTTAACATGTGATTCCTTCCACAATCACCATGGTTCCTCCGAGTCAGAATCACAATCTTCAGAATAGCCCTTTTAAAAAGAGCTTTTGTTCAATCCACAGTTGTCTCCATCAGTCCTATAGAAAAGGAATAGAAAAGTAAGGTTCCACTTCCAGATACGATCCTGTGAAGCCAGTCTCCCTGTTAGATCTACTGTAATATTACAAGTTGCCCAATCACTAGCAGAGCTCCAGGCACGCACCATTCAAAATACTACGTATAGTCAGATGAGAATCTGAAATATGGCTGTTATAAATGTTCCCAATAGGCTGAACGCTAGCAAAGTAGCATAAAGAAAGAAAAGCCTAGTGGAAAAATTTTTTATGGTCATGTCCACAGCAAATGAGAAACCAGCATTCTCAAAGCCTTGGTAATGACCATCAAGGAATTTTTTTAAGTGAAAAAGATGAAAATAAATGTCACACAGTTTGAATATCCAGCAATTTGTTAGCAAATGTTCCTTTTTCCAAAGATCTTAATTGAAAAATGTTAAATTTCTAAAATCAAAAGTAATCACATGGTGAGAAAGTGACAGGATTTCATCAAAAGTCGAGATAAACACATAGAAGTATAGATAACTCTTCATGATAAATCCCTTCCAGAAAAATAGCCTCTTCTTGCCATCTTCCTGATATAATTTATCTCTAAACTATTTCTTGCAGAGAAGACTGTTTTCTAAAAATCTAAAGGATGGTTGACAAGCAGAATTCCAGACATAAACAAAACTTTGTGCTAACAAAGGTATTTATTCATACCCAGGAGAAATCTTTTGCATCTTTTCTGAAATTGGCATGCAGTTTTCTCCCCATAAATTTCTTGTTTCTTTAAGAACTGGTATTAAAATGAAGCCCAGTGGAAGCTTTGAAATGCCAGACATCCATGCTGTTCCCTGCATGATAAATTATTTGGGGCTCTTGGATTCTGGCTTCACAGAAAACAGCCATTTCAACCATATTCCTTTCTGAGGGGAATACCTTCCATCTCCTCATATCTCTAAAAATAACTGGAGAAAATTTTATGTAACGTACACAAAGAATTTAGGCTTTTCATTTTCTCTTAGTCCCGTTTGCCAATATCAATCTGAAAACAATAATAACTATGATAAATATTCTTCCTATCCTTATTTATTTCATTTGACCTCACCTATTTAAAGTCAAGAGGCAAGTAGAAAAATATTTAAAGTCAAGTCTTTTCAGCGAACTCCCACCGTCATGACTGATCACGTCTCTCTGAAGCTGGCACATTGCGCTCACTCTAGAAAGCCCTGCAGGACGGGCTTCCTCTTGTTTCATGCTAGATGTGCAGACATTTAAAAATCATGGTTAGATGGCAGAACCAGTACTTGCCATCTTAGACTCAACTGTGTTTCCAAATGTTTATGTTACAATTATATATGACATTTACCTTTGGAAGAAAATTTTTTATCTCCTTATTATGGAAAGTAAATTTTTTCCCAGCTCTGTACTGGTATAATTTACATGCAATAAAATTCACCAATTTTAAGTGAAAATTCTGATGAATTTTGACAGTTGTGCACAGTTGTGTAACCACCACAACATTCTGTCTCAAAAACAAACAAAAAAACCCCCAGTTCTGTCTCCCTAAAAAGTTTGTCCACCCACATCCTTTTGCATTCAATACCCCTCCCCCATCCTCAGTCACAGGAAACTACTTTCTACTACTATAGTTTTGCTTTGTAGAATTTCATATAAATGGAAGCAATAAGTGTGCAATCTTGTGCATTTGACTTCTTTCACTTAAGATAATGCTTTTGAGATTCATCCATGTTACTATGTATATCAATATTTTGTGAAGATGATTTTTTAAATGGAGAAACATATCTTCTCATCAGTTACATAAAAATTAAATAGCTTCATTTTAACTTTAGTTTCATCAGAAACATTTTTCTGAATAATTTTGCATAGATGTATATAGATGTATATATTCTTATGCGTATTCAAATATTTTAGAGTTGAAACTGACAAAAAATAAAACTGAAGCTATATGGATGGTTACTTGAATATGTGTGTCTATGATTAGCTGATTGTTTTATATACATACACACATAATACACATTCAAACACACACACAGAGGACAGTTTATTCAGACCCAAGAATAAGTGTAGGTAAAGACAGAGTTCAGAAACTGCAATCTAACAGTTTTTGACCACTGATATATTATACCTTTTATTGACTATGTGAACAATTAGATATCTATTTTTTCAGCTTGTCTTATTAATTCTGGTCATGCTATTAAAAACAAACAATATGATTTAATACAATTCTTAAAAATAAAATTCAGAAAAGAATGCTTTCAGTTGCTGTAAGAAAGGAACTAATCTGTTTTCTTTTTTCACATACTTCCTATCTTCACATTTACTTTTCCAATTTTTTAAATGCATTACTGAATTTTATCTCATAAAAGTTGTTATTTTTAAAAATACTTTACTAATATTGAGATATGAAGCTATTTAGGTACTTTTATTAAGTTGTCTCACTTGACCCTCATAAAACCCTGATATCTAAGTATTTTTCCCTCACTACACAGATAAGAAAACTAAGTCTCAGCTTAGATATTTTTGTTCACATTCACACAACAGAGAAGTATTAGAAATCCCGATCCTAGAATTTACCTGACTCTAAAGACCATGTTCAAGAAAGCCATACTCTACTACGGATTTCAAGTAATGGAACATTTTCCCCCAAATAAGTTTTGGATTTTGTTATACATTTCTTTGTGATTTTCAAAGTGTACTGAATCAGAACCTCTAAGATAGGGTTCAATTCTCTGTGTTTTAACAAGCCCTCCAGGTTAATCTAAGGCATGCTAAAGTGTGAGAACCACTGGTTTACGTCAAGCTTGTGAAGAGCATTTTTATTTTGTATATCGTAGATTATTATGTTTCATTCCTCATAGGCACCCATGGGTATAAATAAAATGCTCATAGTTTGGCTAAGATATAATTTAGGAACACTGCCTCTTTTAATTCATTGTTTTAGACAATTTTACTATTGACAGAGTTATTTCAACAAGTTTTCTGTTGTGTTGATATACTACATTTAAGTACAGTATTAAATAAATCTTGTCAGAGAGATAAGAAAATTCAAAATTTAGTACAGATGGCAACATGACATTATTACTAAGCAAAATTAGAACAGTAATTTCTCCAAGTGAGAGAAATGTTATAAGGCCATGTCTGAAGACCATTGCTAGCTATTGACCTAGAATATAATTTGCAGGTCCCGCTCCATCAGATTGTATAATAATGTAAATCACATTAGAGCAGAGAAGTGGAAACTAGAGTCTTAGGAATACTAAATGCATGGACCAGAAATATTTTAATAGTATTATTTTACAAACATGATTACAGTTACAAGCATTTGGTTAAATTTTAGGCAAACTGAACTGAGATTGCCTTACTTTTTCTTGTAGTGATCTAAGCTATACTCGTTAGCTCATAATTTAGTCTCTAAAACACTAATTTTACAGTCTATGACACTGCTCATTTTGAAAAAGAACATCATCCCCTTGATCCCCAATAGTCACAGATCTATATGGGCACTTGTGATACGCCACTTTCGTTCCAAAATTGCAAATTTTATGTTATGTCACTAAGAAAGGACACAATTTTTTTTCCAAAAACTGATTTTTGACATCATATTTTAAAGTAAGCATATCAAATTTAAACAAATGTGTTGAAAGTTTAAATTCTGTCTTAAATTTAATCAGCTTTCATAGGCCTTAGGAAGAACTTATAGAAGAACCCAGGTACATGGTTTTAGTGATATAATATCTTCTATTAAATAATGATATTTTTCATTCATATAATGCTTTATTAGTATCAAAATATCTTCAGGTACAATATGTCTTTCACCCCCAGAGAAATCCTATGAAATAAGCAAGGCAATTTTTCACTAATAAAGCCAAGTCAGAGACAAGCTGAAAGCCAAGTCATAGAACAAATCAGTGATTGAGATGAGGTCAAAAACCAGTTCTCCTAGTCCCTGCAACAGGCCTGGCCTCAAATCATACTTAACTACATTTTTTCCAATGTGCTTCTTTTAAAATGCTGATTATCTATTCAGTTTAATTCAAGGAGTACTAATATGTATCTGTTTGGATCTTTACAATACTTCATTTATAAATGACTTTCAAATGCTAATAGTGGAAACTGTTTCATTTAATTAATTTCTAAACCTCTATTGTCTTTTCAGGAACCACTGCTTTGTATTTGTTCCTGGTTATGCATCCTTCCATCTTTAGTAACTCCCCCAGCCCAAAAACCTTTGAGGAGGTACAGTTCTTTAATAGAAATAACTACCACAGGGGGATTGATTGGTAAGACGGGTTATTAGTATAAATCTAAAAGTATATGTACTGTGCACAGTATAAAAATTAGTGCTAATATTTATTAACATATAAGTTTGTAGCCACAAATAAAAGTTATCCTCTGTGCCTTGGAAATGGAATGAATAAAATGAAATTATTCATAAGAAACTTCTCAGTTTTTAAGGGACTCCTTGCTTCAAGAGGCCCACATGTAATTTCAATTTGCATTAATTATCTTTGATGGTTATCACAGATATAAAGTTAGACAAATACCGTAACACCCAGAAATATCATTCCTTTCTCTTCTTAAAACACTTTCATAGCTTTCTCTTCCTGTGCACTTTGCATTAAAGTGATGCTACAGTCCCCATATATAATTTTCTACTTTGCTTTGGCATAAAAGGTAAATAAATAAATAAATAAATAGAACTAGAAATTTGTGTATATTTTGTGAATAATGAAAATTATTAAAAAGCTATCAGCAATATACAAAATTTAATTTTTGGTCTTGAAATGAAATAAGGACTATATCAACCATCTGAGGAAAATAGTTAAAATAAAATTAAAAGTTAAAATGTCAAATATATACAAAATATAGTAATATAGTAGGAATAGATGTTGCAAAGTAACATGTTAAGGTTGAAATTCTAGGCAGAAAGTGATGTAAAAGAATGGAATTATTATAATAACTCTAGAGCATAAACATAAGCATTTTGCATATATTTTAGCATAAAGAGTTATTATATATTAACTTCTGTTGTCAAATTGCATGATCTCAATTTTATAAGTATCACCCCCCAAGAGTTGCTTATGTGTGGTTCAAAGTGGAAAGAAATGAGTTGAGAATAATTTGAGCACCTACTAGGAATTACATATATTCTAACTGTAATATATTTCACTGCCAACTCTTTGACACAGGGCTTGATACTGATTAGTTGTATGGTGTTAAATAACAACTGAGAATCAAGAAAGCATCAATTACTTCAGCAGCTGACTCAAATACATATGCCTGTGTACAGTAGAATAAAATTATGTTCACATCAGGACTAAAGGGAGTGATTAAAAACTGCTTTAAAAGTGGAGAGGAGGGGCACCTGGGTGGCTCAGTCAGTAAAGTGTCTGACTCTTGATCTCAGCTCAAGTTTTGATCCCAGGGTCATAAGTTTAAGCCCTACTTTGGGCTCCACTCTGGGTGTGAAGCCTGCTTTAAAAAAAAAAAAAAAAGTGGAGAGGAATGTAATACTTGAATTCCTTGAGACTTAATAATATCTGTAAGAATAGGGGCACCTAGGTGGCTGAGTCAGTTAAGCCTCTGACTCTTGGTTTAGGCTCAGTTCATGATCTCGTGGTTCATGAGTTTGATCCTCACATCTCGCTCCTCACTGACAGTGCAGAGCCTGCTTGGGATTCTCCCTCTCCCTCTCTTTCTACCCCTCCCCCACTCACTCTCACAAAATAAATAAACTTTTTTTTATAAAAGAATATCTGTAAGAATAATCAATTTTTAAAAAGTTGTTCAGAAGTTAGTAATGTATATAGGCACAATAATAGGACAAAAAGTCCCCTAAGCAGTTTACAGAAAGATGACATAAGGCATAAATAAGTAGAAGGCTAAAGATTTTAAGTATAACTCACTAAAACACCTCAATTGCAAACACTTTTGCATTGACAAATGGTATGTTTATAAAAGACTATTAACACAAATAACAAATAGTACCTACAGATGTCAATCTATTATCAATAACTCTGGCTTTGCTCTCAATGATGTCAAATATATTCAGAGTCCTCAGGTTGGCCGTGTCTCTCTGTGAAGTGTCAGCACCTCAACAGTCCCTTTGGGACCACAGAGCCATAAAGTAGAAGAGTTTGATAATATGTCTGAGCATGCCAAGGTGGCTTACAGAATTAACACAGGCTCAGTTAGTCTGGATTCATGGATCTGCTTTTCCTAGAAAACTGGGGAAAACCAGGGCTACCTTAACTGACAGGCAGCTTAAACACAAGCTGAGGACAAAAGCAAAGTAAGGCAGATGAAAATGAGAAAACTCTATCTTTGGTAAAATAGCCAAATTTTACAATCAGGATATCAAGAGAAATGTTTGATTCATACCTACAATTAAATATTATATTCTGTTTGGTATAATTTTTATAATTACATGGGTATGAAGTGAAGGGTTGGACTGGTACTTGGAGAGCCATAAAATCCTGTTAGCACTTAGAACTTCTAAATGTCTTAATCTAGCTGTGAGTTAAATCACTTAGAAATACTCACAGTCAGCTCAAGTAACAAATAAATGTGGAATATTGCAAAAATCACATCTTTCAGTTGAAAAAGATGGTGAGGTGTTATGAAAGCAAAGCTTAAATGCGGCAGGCATTCACTTTTAACTAGAGTGGTTTATACTCTAGTTTGCTCACCAGTTCTTTGGATAATCTGAATTCATATTCCCCAGATGTTACCTATTTATACCCTGAAAATATTAAGCTGAATTCGTATTTACCTATTTATTCATCAGACATTTTATAAGTGCCTCTAAGTGCCAGCCACTACACTAGAAAAATGTGGGCATGTTGGCAAACAAGAACTGGACCCTGCTTTTACATGAGCCTCTGGGGCCAGGCAAAATCAACACATTATGTGTCCAAGATCCAGAACTACTTGAAGAGGTTTTTAAAGGCCTAAACTGTTATAGGTATAGAGAGGACTGCTGGGAAAGTGGGACCATTTTTAGAAACTAAAACTTAATCAGAATTCAGTACTTTCTTCCCTTCTTTTGTGACTTTTGGAGCCTTTCTCAGAATAAGCAAGGCTGAGATACTCTTGGACCAAATAAGATATCACTAGACATTTGGGATAACCTTAGCATACCTGGAACCAGGGTGAGCATTTAAATTAAGAAGTATCTTAAAATGTGGCCCTGTTCTACACCAAAACAGATAGCAGATCAAACTTTCCAGAAATTTTTATATATCTGTTTCCCCCTAAAAGGATGCCAGAATGACATATCACCAAGGCAATTTCCAGAAAACATAAAAGGATTTCTTTACTGCCCTGAGTTTCAAGACATCACTTTGTTGTACCAGCCAAACTTTGCAATATGTTAACAACTGGAATCCTACCAGAAGCTTTATCGTGTGAGATGTCTAAAAGAAAACAACGTACTGCATAACGAAGTCATCACAGAAATGTTAATGACTCTCTTGCTCAGTAATTATTGAACTGCCTTGTCTTGGTAGCCAAAGTCATGGTGGCTTATGAATTGAAGAGGGTGGGAGCAGAGGATGAAGCCATTATGATCAAATGTAAGAAACCCTAGAAGCTAAATTTGCATGTGATCTCTAAAAAAGGCTCTTTTTCCTTTAAAAGTTGTCCCTTAGTGCTTCAGAAATATCAATTATCACATGCTGAATTAGTTTATATTTGACAGCTTTTGTACAAATGAGAGATTATACAAAATCTGTTATGTCTTACATTTCTGTGCTTGAGGCGTTAGCCATTCCTATGTTCAGTCTGCTGGTGATTTACATTCTCACCACACTTAGGGATATAGGACCTGACCTTGAGAAATTTGATAGGATTTTATATTTAGAAATATGTACACACTTTTTAAATTTTTATAAATATTCTAAAGAAAATAAATGGCTCTAAATGGAAATAAAAAGTTAAGCAAATAGGCAATGTTTACACCAGATGTGTTCTGCACTTGAACATTTTATAGTTGAATGCAACCACAGCACAACACATTACTGAGAAGGAAATTATTTTACTTATGAATAAAGTAAAGTAAAAAATACTTTGTCTAAGTCCTTTTAGAATGTCTTTGAACTGAACACATCATCTGTTTTGATCAAATTTTCCTTTTGGTTGAGCACTCACACATTTTTCTCTGTAAAATATTTCTGCATTTAGATATGTTTTATATAGTTAGGTTGATTATTGTTCCAGTTTTATCATTCTGTGTCTACATTTTTGCTATCTCTCATTCCTTTTTTTTATAGTAAACAAAACAAAATGTATTCAGAAAAGCATTCTCAAAGTACATTATTAGTGTTCTGTATACTTTCTCCCTAGCAAACTATATAGAAAAGATGCCTTATAGAAAAAGGCTTTTGTTTAGGAAACAAATGATTTGTGGGATACCTCTGACATCTACAGTCACCAGCATATGAATATAAACCAGTCTTATTTTGAGAAATATTCCTTTTCTAGGTATATGGAATTCTTCCCAATCCCATCTAATGTCACCACTGACTTTCTGTTTGAAAAGAGTGCCAATTACTTCCACTCAGAGGAAGCTCCTAAAAGAGCAGCTTCTCTGGTCCCCAAAGCCAAGATCATCACCATCCTCATCGACCCCTCTGACCGAGCATATTCCTGGTATCAGGTAAGAAACATATAGACAGAATCTAACAGGTAAGAAGGGGAGTATGAAGAAAGGTGGATGGTTTGCAACAATAGCAACCACCTCAGGTCTAAATAAAAGAGAAGATTTGCTAGTTTTATATCTACATAAAAGTGGATAAAGTTTTCTGTGTTTCTGGAGAAACTTTCTCAAGATGTTATTAATTTTGTATTAATTTAATATGTTAATGGAATGAAAATATAGCAAAATATTATGTACTTGTATGTACATCTGTGCTTCTACACATCTGCATTTTGTAAAAATAGACTGAAAAATAGAGACTAAGGGTAACATTTCCTTGGAAACTATAAAGATAAATGTGAAATGCTGTATTCAGAAACTCCTTATCTGTATTTGACTAGTATTGCTTCTAAACACAGGTCTACACCAAGACACATAATAATTAAGATGGCAAAAAAATGTAGTGATAAAAAGAAAATTTTTAAAGCAGAAAGAGAAAACAGTCATATACAAGGGAAATCCCATAAGTCTATCAGCTGATTTTTCAGCAGAAACCTTATAGGCCAGAAAGGAGTGGCATGATACATTCAAAGTACTGAATGGAAAAAACCTGCAACCAGGGTTATCATTGAGAATAGGAGGAGAAATCATTTCCCAGACAAAGAAAAGCTAAAGGAATTCATCACCACTAAATCAGCCTTATGAGAAACATTAAAGAGAATTCTTTGAGTGGAAAGAAAAGGCCATAATCAAGAGTAAGAAAATTCTGAAAAGAAAAAATTGCACAGGTAAATGCAAACATATAATAAAAGTAGTAGATTAATCACTTATAAAACCAATATATAGGTTAAAACACAAAAGGAGTAAAATTAATTATATCCATAAAAATCAGTCAAGGGATTCACAAAATAAAAGGATGTAAAAGTGTGACATCATATACATAAAACATGATGCGGGAAATAAAAATTTAGTGTTTTTTAAATGGGTTCAAACTCAAGTGACCATCAACTTAATATAGACTGCTCTACACATAAGATGTTATATATGAACCTAATGGTAATCACAAATCAGAAACCAATACACAAAACAATAAATAGAATGGAATCCAAGCATAATAATAAAGAAAGCCATCAAACCACAAGGGAAGAGGACAAGAGAAGAAGGAAACAGATAAGACCTACAAAAACAATTACAAAACAAGTAACAAGATGGCAATAAATACATACCTATTGATAATTACTGTAAATGTAAATGGACTAAGTACTTCAGTCAGAAGACACCAGGTGACTGAATGGATAAAAATGCAAGATAGATCTATCTATATGTTGCCTGCAAGAAACTCACCTCAGACCTAAAGACACATATAGATTGAAAGAAAAGGCATGGAGAAACATTTACCATGCAAAAAGAAGCAAAAACAAAGCAAGGGTAGCAATGCTTCTTATATCAGACAAAATAGACTTTAAATTAACAAAGACTATAAGAAAAGACAAAGAAGGATACCACATAATGTCAAAGGTAATAACCAAAAACAAACAACAAAATCAAAAACTCCTTATCTGAAACCCTTCACCTGGGTTGGAAATAAGGCTGCTTCTCTGTACTAAAGTGAACGTACACAGCTCTGATCTTCCAGGTAAGAGTAGTACATTCCATTTCTACTGATAGGATTTCAAACAGATAATTCATGACAATCTATGATATTAGAGAATAAAGTTTCTCAGCACTGGGCCCTTTTGTTATTTAAAAAAAGTAGTTTTTCCAAATTCAAAAAGGAAGAACAGGTTGTCAGGAAAGGTTTTGTGGCTGGGACAGAGTAGGGAAAAGGTCATAATAAAGCAGATGGGATCTTAGATAGGCAGATTCATAATAATTTGCATAACAGGAAGTGAGACAAGCTGGAAAGCCGAAATACACAACTACACACTAAACATTGGTGCCTGACTCCTACAGCCATCTTTTAAATCATAGTATACAGCAAATTGTAAATTGACTGATGAGATTTTGTGCCTTTTACCTTTTCCACCAGGTATCTGGAGAAAAGAGAAATAAGCCTTAATTGACTCCAAGAGAAAAGAAAATTGGAACTTGGCAAACACTTAGCCCCTGAAAAATTGAGAATTTACCATAAAAGGAGGTTCCAAGGCTCTAAGCTAACAAAATACCCTAAATATTATAAATAAATCAGTCTGTAGTGGCAAAATGCAGACCTTAACAAAGTCTAGTAGTGTTTGTAGTATAGTAATTTGAATCTCAATTGCAGCAAATTTGCTATTCAACTAGATGTGGTAAACATCCACAAACCTACCACTAAGTCTGAATATTTATTGGTCAATTTAGAGAAAAGGTGATTTCCTCAAACCCATGGGCCTCAGCCTGAGCCATTATAAAACACTTTACTATTTGGATTGCTGCTTTCTGCATTTCTGTACAATAAATGATTCTGATTCCTCACAAAGGAAGGTTACCATTAGGTAAAATCATCTTGGCTTTTAGATGCTAGGTAATATATGATAAAAGCTGTGTATTTTAGATAATGTACATGTCAGAGTTTTGGGTAGTTTCTCCATTTAAAATAGCCAGTAGGGCTTTTCTAATCTAAAACTGCATTACTAGATGGAACAAAACTATGTGGTAGAACCAGTAGAGTGCTTGTGTATTATGGATACTCCATGGACATAACAAATGGTTTGCTTATGGGCTGAAAAGGGGGCATTAATGCAACTTTCAAAAGTTTAGAAGTATATACACCAAGGAAACAACTCCGTAAAGCTGGTTAAAGAAGCCTATCAATAAGAATTCAACTTCTGCCAAATAAGTTCTCAAAATATAGCCTCATCAGTGTCATAACTTTAAATCTCGATGCTCCAAGCAAACATTTTCATCCCTTATTAATTGCAAAACAAATAACTCTCCAGCAGTGAGTCACTCCTTCCTTTAGCTTCAAGACTTGTCACAGAGATTGGTTTTTAATTATTCATGCCTATGGTTCAAGTTAGTTTAATTATCCACCTTTTCATCATAGCATCAGCGATCCCATGAAGACCCTGCAGCTCTGAAGTTTAGCTTTTACGAAGTGATCTCAGCTGGGCCCCGTGCACCCTCCGAGCTTAGAGCCTTGCAGAAGAGATGTTTGATCCCAGGGTGGTATGCCAGCCACATCGAGAGATGGCTTGTTTATTTCCCTCCCTTTCAGGTATTGAGCAATAAGAATTTCCATCATGTTACAATCTCATTAAGTTGATGACTTTGCCTCCAGGATAGAGGAAATTTTTACTCATTAAAACATTACTGCCTTTTACTCTTTAGTTGTAAATAAGAAGACAGTGGCAAAGAATAATAGTTAGGCAGAGGTAGACAAACTGTTTGATTTTCTGTCTGAAAGTATTTTTGAATAATTCTCCCTGCTGTATTTTCTAGTGCATACCCTTCCTGATTGTCAAGAGCTTCAAAAGCTTCATATCCATGATTCTTATTCTGTGAATAAAGCTTGAGAACCTCTTAACCAAACAAGGCAAATCATGTTTTGCTTAATTAAGTGTCATTATTTCCCTTTGAACCACCTTGCTGAATTTTTCATAAGCTTTTTGTTTTTCTTGCCTTCCTTGCTTCTCTTTTTTGCTAGACATCAGCCTAGATTATAAACTCAGCCCTTACATTAGATTGTACAAAGTAGTCCAGTCACGTCGGACATAGTGTGTGCTTGGGCACCTAGGACTGTGCTGCCTGAAAGCTGATAGCTGCTGCCACATCTGGCTATTTAAATTTCTACTAAAATTACATAAAATTAAAAATTCAGTTTCTCAATCACATTAGCCACATTTTAAGTGCTCAATAGCTACCTTTTAGATACCACAGCCACAGAACAATGCCCATAGTCATGAAACATTCTAGGGAACAATGACAATTGTTTTTAGTTTTAGACAATTTAGTCTAGACTAAATAGAAATACTGGAGAAGAGGTATGAGCAGTGGTTGCACTGCACACTTTGTAGTCTTCCATTATGGTCACCTGTCATTTTATATTCTGGGCCACCCTGCTCCCTCATTAAAGTAACAAGCAAATCTTCCCCTTGGTCAGTTCAAGAACTTCCATTCACATTCAGGTTCTCTGGGAGTCTTGTCTTTTTCTCCAAATGGATTAGCTAAATATTTCTTAAACCTTTACAGTGCTACTCTTTTGAATGGACTCATGGAGAATGACATGTCCTCTACATCTTTACACCTGGTCTTATTACAACTTTTTTCTTTTCTATAGTGCTCCTTCCAATCTTCAATGATGTAATCAACAATTTGCCAGTGGTTGGTTTTTTTTTTTTTAAGATTATTTTTAAGTAATCTCTATACCCAACATGGGACTCAAACTTACAACTCCAAAATCAACAGTCGCATGCTTTACCGACTGAGCCAACCAGGCACCCCAGTTTTGCCTATATTTAAACTTGGTTTCCATTTGTGATTTGTAATCACATTTCTTAAGCTCATTTGGTCCCCCCAAATGGTTTTCTTGTTTTCATAGTATTTGGAGGACTTCTCAGATTACAAAACCTAAATACACCTAGTGTGGTTTATTTCTTATTCCAAGTCATTAATGAGATTGGCCTGGTTGAGTCTAACAACAATGTATGCAAATGCCCTCAGTAGAATATCTCTTATTGACTAAATTCAGAGTGCACTAATTTTTAATTATACAGTTACACATCTTTCTTCAATGTGCATTGTCTTTTTTTTAATTTCTCTGTTAATTTAGTTGCTAATTATTGATGGGCAACAGCTAAGGATGGATCCTGCTACAGTGATGGATGAAGTACAGAAATTTCTAGGAGTCTCTCCTCATTATAATTACTCAGAAGCTTTAACGTAAGTTTATATTCTAATTATTGAAGTTTCATTAGGGAACTGGTTTTTTAAAAGTTGAAGTTTAGTGTTGCAACTATTACATTAGCTGCTCCTTACATAACTGCTTCTTTTCTGATTAGTTTGACATTAACTACTTGGGAATGAACTTTTCAACAGTGTGGCAAAGAAATGTTCTAAATCCTCTGTTGGTTTCTAACTATGAAAGATTTCCCCTAGAAGGAAAGCAGAGAAACAAAATAATCGTAAATCTTAAAACCAAGAATTAACCCACAAAAAAGGCTACTTAAAGTCAGTAAGTGCTGAGCCTGTTTAACAACAATAGTGGGAACTCTTGCAAGCATAAAGAGGTAATTAACTGGATGGTTTATGAGCTCTGTCTTTTGTGCAGTTTTCAAAAATAATGTCATGCAGCAAAAAATCACCCAGTAGGTGTGTGAATAGGCAAAAAGAGATATGCTCTTATCACACTTACATATACTTCCATTTTTGGCCTTTATGTCTTTATGCACTGTGTATCTGACCCTGTCGCCTCTCCTTCAAGGGCCACAGCAATTACAGCTCTGGTTTGGTTTTCTTTTGCTGGTTCTTTCTGATTTTCTTGGGTAACTAACGCTATCTGGGCCGGGACAAGCATAAGGCAAGAGGGGCATTAGTAATGTAAGAAGGTGCTTGCTCTCAGGACCACGCAAACACCGGAGAGTGAGTGCCTCCTGAAATTTTGGCCCCCAGGTACCTCTCTTAGCTGACTCTGGACTCCATTTAGCATTTGAAATAAGACCTCCATCTTAACTTGGTCCATTATAATGGTCAGCAATAATATTCATGAGGGTTGTGTTTGTTCCTATTTCACATGCTTCAAGCAACTGGAAGATAGAGTTGAATACACCATGGACCTGACCACCACTATAGTATTTTTTTTTCTTCTAATTTTTAGGCTCATAGACTGAAACTTAAAGAAACTAAAAAAGACTGGCATGGAATTCTTCCATTGTATTTCTCATATCTAAAGATCAACTGATTTTCTCTTTTCATTGTACAGTTTATCTTATAGCAGGTTAGACATTGTGACAGACAGGATTACCTTACCTCTCAGCATCTCTTACAATAAAGATCGGCAGAAAAACATCAACTACTGCTTATGTCTTGCACAAATCATATGTAGAGACATACATAAGAAGAACATTTTGCTTTAGAGGACAAAGGAACTTGAGTTTTTACCTTCCTTCCCAACAGCCATTTTCTTTCTTATTACTATTAACCTTCTGACCTCTGTTTTTATATTATGAGTACTATTAGAGCTTGGCTGAGCTTAGTTCATGTACTAACACAGACTCTACTCGCCTTAGGTATTTAACTTCCGGCTTGACCTTAAAGAAAGCTGAGTGATTTTAGTTTGCAGTTAGAAATTCAAGTCCACTTTCAGCTTTATATCTTTTTAAGTATCTCTTAGAAAAGAGAGCTTTTATTTTCTAAACAGTTTTCTATTTCAAGTTGGTTTATCTTTGGGTCTTTTTTATAGAGCATATAGCAAAGCATTGTATTTCAGAAAAAAAAGAAGTGAAGTATTCTATAAAGACATAATCTCTTTTTTTATGGAACGGTCCTTGACCTGCATGCTGTGTATTTGTCCCCTTTGCATCCAGCTCAGCAGCAAGCTTTTTATTCTCCTCTACTGCCTAGAAAAGGGAGTGTAAACTTAAGAGAAGTAATATCAAAGCAACATACTATATACAAAGAACTGTGGATCGCGTTGCACCTGGGTTGTATCTGGCTAAAATTGCCCATTATGTGATTCTCTACCCTCGTCTGGGGCTCAGTGGGTGAAGTAGCAAGATAAGATATGTGTAGTCTCTGAAACCACAGCTTCTCATCTTGCAGGGCTGCCCAGGCTCTTACCCTGCTGATGGAGATAACGTACAGCCATTCAGTTTCTTTTTATATTTTCTTGTCAATCATCGGTTGGCCTTACACATCTTATAAAAATCAGCAGGGAACCTGTTGTAGAATATTTGGAATTTCATGTCGTTGTCTTAGTCTGAATTGGTCTAAATCATCCTTCACCAACCCTTTTGCAGTTGTTTTGACTCCTGCCCTTATAACTTAATTACTCTTGGTAAAGTAATTGTACTGATAGTTTTTTTTCTGTGGTGCTTTGGACATATTGAGGATCACTGGGGGGTCAAACAAAATGTATGTTCTCAGGAAAGTCATTTATTGTTTCATATTTTTTTCTGCTACTGATAGTGAAAACTATATCTTTGGTACTTAAAAAAATAATTAAAATCCCCTAAGAATGTACTGAACTGCAAACAGATATGAATTCTCCACTAATCACATAAATCCTGTTTTTTGCACATAGTAGAATAAATGAATGAAACCAAGTCTACACAAAGATTTTACCAAGCAGGCTTGGGATGAAAGAGTACACCAATTTATGCACTCTATAAATTGGTTATCTTCAATATATAAAAGTCCCAATTTCAAAACTATTTTCAAGAAAAATATCAATAAGCTTCCATTGTCAAGAGTGTTATTTATTCCTTTCCACAATTGCTAAAGACAGTATTCAAGACTTCCAAATTTCATACACTCATTGGATAGTAAAATAACGTAGTACGGTCATCATGAATTTTAAATAACATACTGAATATGAAAAAAAAATCTGACTTTCTTGGTCAGAATTGATGTGATTTAAGTAAGCAGTATAAGTTTTAAACAACACAAATGGGAACTTCTCATTCAATTAAGGTAATTAGCATTTTACAATTCTTGTTCAACATAACCTTTATGACTAAATTGTATATTGGATTGATATACTGACATCATTTTAGCTTTCAAGTTGTGTGTTACGTAGGGTTTTAGAGCCAACTGATCATTTGAGAGAAAGCAGTAAAAATAGTGTGTAGCATGGAATTATGCTACTTAGTAAATAGTAAAATGAAAAGTTTAAACTTTTTATTTTTCCATGAATATATGCATGCATAGTTATACCTAGCCATCAATGATCATGATAAGAGGTTTCACACTTAGAAATACTAGTTAAATACCTGAACCTGACATCTTTATTTCTCAGTTAACCTGTTTGTAAACACAAATGAAACCAGACTGAGTTATATGAATTTTTAATACTAATTTACTGTGATAACTTTAATAAATGGAAAATAAGAATTTTAAGGTCAGGGATTGAATACGGACTGTGGGCTTGTTTTGGTTTTCTTCTGTGGATGGGGCTGGACTAAGTCATAAAGAATAAAGCTGCCTCAAAATTCAAGAAGCACTTCAACTGTTACTTTTTTTTAATGTTTATTTATTTTGAGAGAGAGAGAGAGTGCATGAGCAGGGAAGGGGCAGATAGAGAGGGAGAGAGAGAATCTCAAGCAGGCTCTGTGCTGCTAGGAGGCCTTATCAATGTGGGGCACAAACTCATGAACTGTGAGATCATGACCGAAGCCTAATCAAGAGTCAGACACTTACCTGGCTGAGCCACGCAGACACCCCAAGAAGGACTTCAGTTGTTTCTAATACCATTTCCCTGGCAACAAATTTATATTCCCCTGGAAGTCTTTTCCATCCCACTTTGGATGACTGTGAATAAAAATGTGCCACATTAAAACCTTTTTTAGTAGAAAAAAAAAAAAAAAGTAGCCATAACAGCGGAGCCTGGGTCATCACTTTGCAGTTTGTGAGTTTGAGCCCCATGTCGGGCTCTGTGCTGATGGTTCAGAGCCTGGAGCCTGATTCAGATTCTGTGTCTCCCTCTCTCCCTGCCTCTCCCCCACTCATGCTCTGTCTCTTTCTCTGAAAAAATAAATAAATGTTAAAAAAAAAGTAAAAAAAACAAAAAAAAAGAATAGCCATAATAGCCAAAATGTGCTGGTTCCCTAGACTACCCATGAAAGAGCACCAAGCAATGGAAAGTAGTGAAAAAGAAGACAGTCTGCTCCAATTTCATACGATGAATTTGTTTTTCAGAGTGGTTGTAACTTTTCAAAATCAATATACCATGTATATGTTCTACATTGATATGTTTACATATATTGCTTCATACCAACACTAGGTATGAGAGGTACTATTAGCTCCATTTTTCAGCTAAAAAGAAAAAAAAATGGGCACAGAAAAGCTAAGCCGAAAAGTCACTCAGCAAATAAGTTGAGGAGTCAGGACTGAAAACTCAATCAGTCCATTGGAGCCCGCACTGCCAATCTATTAAGCTCTTCAAGTTGGCACGAGATGCTAGAACTAGAGGAAAAGCAATATTATGAATTTTTACTAATGGATAGTGCACCAATAGAAAGAACTTTCTTTAAAAGACTGAAACCTTAAAATGAGTTTTTTTAAGTTGTCTTAGACTTTATTATAAAAAGAACCCATCTTCAGGTGCATGATCACTTTGCATAATAAATGTGCAATCATAGTGATATGCAAATTAAAATCACACTGAAATACCACTAGAATGGTTATAATCCAAAAGACAATACCAAATGTTAGCAAGAATGTGGAGAAACTAGAACCCTCATAGATTGCTGATGATAATGTATAATAATATGACCACTTTGGAAAAGCAGTTTTCCAGCTCCTTAAAAATTAAAGAGAAGCTTACAAATAATCCAATTCCACTCTTAGGAGTCTACCCCAAGTGAAATGAAAACCTACATTCAACAAAGACTTGTTCACAGAAGCATTATTAATAATAGCCCAAACCTGGAACCAATCCAAATAGTCACCAACTAGTAAATGGATTAACAAAATTTGGCATATCCACACCAGAAAAAAAAAATGGGGGTGGGTGGGGGATGTTCTGAAAAGACAAATTAGAGATTGAAAGCAGATCAGGGCTAGCCTGGGGCTGGAGGTAACAGCAGAGATTCTCTCCAGTGGACTCTAAGGGATTTGGGGGGATTATAGAAATGTTCCAACACTGGATTGTGGTGATAGTTATACAGCTATATAAACTTGCTACTCTATCATTTAATTGAACACTGAAAATGGGTGTTATGATAAGTCAATTAAACCTCAAAAACTGTTAAAAATAAAATGGGTGTCAGAAAAATGGTTCATTAAATCATAAAAGCATATTTGTAGAGAGGAAACTGATTTAAAAAAACAAAAACTAACAAAAATAACTTCTGTGTTTGCTCCATAACACCTAAATGACGGTCTTTTGGTTTTGAGATTTACCTGCATTATTTGCAGTTCACTATTCTCCCATGGAGATATTATTTCAACTTAACAGCATTTTAAACATACTTGAACCTTCTAAAGTATAATTTGAATATTCCCAAGGATTCACCTGCCCAAGGGGAAAATTAAATCCACATTATCATTCATCTACAAATGTTGCCAGTTGGAGGCCAAATCACTGGAGAACTTTGATTGTCCCTACCTACATGTCTCTTCCAGTTATATCTAGACGTCAAGGTGATAGTCTACAGATATTTAAGAGCCAATCTGTCTTTTCTAGTCTAATTCAACAAAGTTTTATTGAATGACTACTATGTGCAAGACTCTGGGATACAATGATTAACAAAATATCTCCACCTCCAGGAATGGGTAACCATAGCAGTAAACAACACATAAAATTTCTTTACTTCCTGAAGTCCTTTAAAGAAGGGTCTTAACCATGACCACTGCCTACACTTTAAAAAAAGTTATTTCTTCCTGTCCCACAGATATCAGTACCTGTAGTAACAAGATTAATCTTAAGAGGGATACTGCTGATATTCTAAACAGATGTAGGGAGATCTTTCTCCATTTTGTATCAAGCTTCTTCATGTGAGCTATGAAATTGCATTGCTGATGTCTTCAAACTCATAAGGTCAACATCAATCCCTTTACCTCTAGCTCAAGTCACATGGAAAGTAAATATGAAGTCCCTTCTGCCTGTCACCTTTCTCTTCTTTTCTTTTCCACCCCAATACACTTATGCGATTGCCTACGAGCATATTCATACAGATGCCTGGGCTATGTGCCAGACACACACACACACACACACCACACACACATACACACACACACACACACACACACACACACACACACACAGGTATCTTTTTATCTCAATAAAGCCCAGAGTAACAGCCTGCTGCATAAGATGTAACCAATTAGCAGAGATGAGAGAAAAACCTATTTTTATTTTGATTCTTAATTATATTATGTGTGAAGTTCAGCGTGTCTTTTAAAAACAATGTTCTGTCATAAGGCGTATGTATATTCCAGACATATATCTATAGTTAGGTATATTATAAAGAATAATAATAGTTGGTCTATTCTGAATTTTGGCTTCTGAATTTTGATCACTTAAATATTTAAAATGAGTCAGAATTCAATTATAGAAATTGTTAAGGACAAAATGTTTATGAAAAATACTATATCAATAGCAGATTTCCAGAAATTTCGTTGTTTTAGAACTTCCCTGCTTTCCAAGTCAGGGGCTCAGTCAGTTAAGCATCCAACATCGGCTCAGGTCATGATCTCATGGTCTATGAGTTCAAGCCCCAAGTCAGGCTCTGTGCTAATAGCTCAGAGCCTGGAGGCTGCTTCAGATTCTGTCTCTCTCTCCCCCACTTATGTTCTCTCTCTCTCTCTCTTTCTCTCTCTCAAAAACATAAAGTGAAAACATCAAAAATATAGAACTTCCCAGCTTTCTAAAAAACACATTAAATAAATAAATGAACTTTCCAGCTTTCATGTACAGATTATTTAAGTAATAGTCTTTATTAATGCTTTTGTTTTTCTTGTGCCTCTGACTATGGCACTACTTTGTTCAGTTGCCTTACTGATTCAAACAAGAATATAAATAACATGCAGATATACTATGTTGTGTCCTGATCTCACACAATTGTGTCAGTAATGATGAGAAATAGGCTTTGCATAAGCGAGATGTGAGTCATCCTTTAGTGTTTCTAATATCCAAGCCAGTATGGAGGCAGAAATCTACGTTTGCAATCCTTTCACAGGGCTATGTTATAAAAATTCTAGATTAGCTACATAAAGAGTACCTTACAAATCACATCCATCCATACACACAGACATTCAATTACAGTATAATTTGAAATCAGCTTTATTGATATAAAATTTGTATTTAATAAAATCTACCTATTTTAATTGTACAGATTGATGAATTCTGACATATGTGTACAATTGTATACATCACCACAATCAACATATAAAACACTTCCATGAATCCAAAAAGTTTCCTCGTGCTTCTTTGCAGTCAATCCCTTCCCCTCACTAGCAACCACTGATCTATTTCATTTAGCATAGTGCTTTTGAGATTCCTTCCTATTGTTACATCTATCAGTAATTAGCTCTTTTTTATCACTGAGTTGTACACCACTTTATGGATATACCACAATTTGTTCATCCTTTCACTTATTGATAGACATAGGGTTATTTCCATTTGCATCTACAACAATTATTTGTGCATAGATCTTTGTATGGACATGTATTTTCATTTCTCATGGGTAAACACCTAAAATGGGGTTGGTGGGACATATAGTAATTATATATATTAAAATATATAAGAGAGAGAGAGACAGCATGAGCAGGGGAGGGTCAGAGAGAGAGGGAGATACAGAATCTGAAACAGGCTCCAGACTCTGAGCTGGCTATCAGCACAGAGCATTTTGTGGGGCTTGAACCCATGAACGGCAAGATCATGACCTGAGCCGAAGTCCGACGCTCAACCGACTGAGCCACCCAGGTGCCCCTCTACCAATTTTTGTTGGTGTTATCTTTTCTGTTGAGTTGAATTATATATTCTGATACAAATTCTTTATTAGCCCTATGTTTTACAAATACCTTTGCCCAATCCATGGCTTCTCTTTAAGTTTCTTAAGTGTTTTAGAAAAGCAAAGTGATGTATTCAAAGTTATCATTATTCTTCTCTTAGCATTCATCCTATGAAATCTTTGCCTAAATCAAGGTTACAAAGATTTTCTTAAAAAAAAAAAAAGATTTTCTATGTGTATGTGTGTGTGTGTTTTTTAATGTTTGTTTATTTTTGAGAGACAGAGTGTGAGCAAGAGAAGGGCAGAGAGAGAGGGAGACACAGAATCTGAAGTAGGCTCCAGACTCTGAGCTGTCAGAACAGGGCCTGATGCAGGCTCAAACTTACAAACCCTGAGATCATGACCTGAGCCAAAGTCAGACACTTAAACTGAGCCATCCAGGTACCCCTCTATATGTTTTCTTTCTATGTTTACTTTCAGAGTTTTTATAGTTTTACCTCTTAAGTTTAGATCTATGATTGACTTCAAGTTAATTTTTTTATACAGTGTAAGTAAGAGTCAATATTCGTATTTCCCACATCGGTACCACTTTTGCCAGATTAATTCATTTAAAACACTGTTCTTTCCCATCAAATTTACTTGGTACCTATTTTTGAAAATCAGTTGATTGTAGATGTATTGGTCTATTTCTTAACTTTATTTTGTTTCAAGCATTGCATAGGGCTCCATGATGACAGTGTGGAGCCTGCTTGGGATTCTCTCTCTCTCTCTCTCTCTCTCTCTCTCTCCCCCTCTTTCTCTGACCACCCCCATGCTCTCTCTTTCTCAAAATAAATAAACTTAAAAAAATTTTGGTAAAATAAAATGTAAGTTTAATATGTTAACTAACTGGAATTAAAATAAAATGGTAAAAAGTATAATAAAAACAATAAATAAATATAAATTAAACATTATACTATTATTTTGGTTATAATTATGCCATGAAAATCCACATTTACTGTTACTTTTACTTTAATACAGAGCTCATACCAAAATAAAAAAGTGCTCTGGAAGAAAATTAAATGGATTATAATTAGATAAGGCTAAAATGAGGCACTCCATAGCACACCAGAACCCTTTCTCTTCTATTAGTCTGCAGTTGTATGGTACAAGTACTATGTAAATCCATAAATATGGATGAAACCTGACTTATCATTTCTAAATCCTACAGAGAAGAACTGAGTTGAAATTTATAAAAGTTTTTCCTTCCAGATGAAGAAGGTAGGCTATTAATTTCTATTAATAGGAGACCTTCTGCTGACAATTTTTCTATTAGGAATCTGGCAAACTCACAAATATGACAGATGGACTCAGAATTTAGAAGTATGCCAAAAGACATTATGCAAAATGACTTCGTCAAAAAATATGCCAGTTTCTCTGGTTATAGATTAAGATCCAAAAATATATTCATGTTTTTGGTCATTATGTCTTAGAAATTACTTGCAAAATACTTTTTTTGTGCTTTGTATATTGAATTTTTCTTAGGTTTGATTCGCATAAAGGTTTCTGGTGTCAGTTATTGGAAGAAGGCAAAACAAAATGTCTTGGAAAAAGCAAAGGAAGGAAATACCCTCCAATGGATCCTGATGTAAGTACAGAGCTTACAAATACAAACTAAATAAGCAAACTAATAAGTAGTATGTATTTTCTTATAAAAGTGGTTAAAATCAAAATGTACCCCTTCTAAACACTAAAAGGGATATTTGGATTTCAATGTATCCAGGTTGCTTGTTTTGATTTTTCCAGTGATATATTACCTATCATGCAAGAATAAAAGAAAACAACAGAATTTTCTATTTTTAAGCAGAACAAAGAAGGTAACATCTCAAGACAAAAAGAATGATACATTCACAAGAATTTTAGCACTAAAAATGTTAACTGAAACCAAGACAGGAAATACATCAACTGGAAATCGAAAATAGGACCAAAAGATTTCTATTTTTTTCCCACTAAGTTAATCTATAGTTGTAAGTGTGGCCTGAATAATATTTCTTTGATAGTTTTCTTTGGTTGATTTTAAAATTTACCTTCAGAGTACTATGAGAAAAATCCTTACATGTTAATAGAAACTAAAAGGCAATTTCTATGATATTTTCAAGAATGTAATATAAAATATATCATTTTCATTTATGTCAAAGCTATTTATTATATTTATTAAAACTAAAATGTTTAAAAGACACTGTGGAACATCTTTCTTATCATTTTATTTTACTCCTATCAAACACAGACATAGTGAGACATAATATTAGATTTTGTGGTAAAGAAAGATAAGAAAAACCAAAGTTTTAGGATACCAGTACTTCTATATCTCTCAGAAAGACTTCTGTAATAAATTCTGAGTTGTTTTAAGTCAGACATTTCTAACACCAAATGTGTGCAGTTTCATACCAAGCAATAATGCAAATTTCTGCAGATACAACTAAGTACCCTACAATATAACTCAATTGTGCTACTAACTACCCCAGGTTAGTGTAGACTCCACAGGTAAAGGGCCTACTACCACAAGACTGCCCTCTCTTCAGACTCCAATAGCAAGTAATGGGTTTCTAGGTTACTAACTTCTGTCTAAAGTGGCCACAAATCAAAGGCTCTCATGACCCCTTCCTCAGGTTTTATAATTTGCTATAACCATTCACAGAAGGCAGGAAAACACTTTACTTTCTATTCTTAAAAAGGATACAAATGAATAGCCAGATGAAGAGGTACATAGAACAAGGTCCAGAAGTGTCATAAGCACAGGAGCTTCTGTATCTGTGGAGTTTGGGGTGTGCCACTCTCCGAGCACATGGGTGCATTTACCAGTCCTGACATTCTCGAGTCCTTCATGGAAGGTTCTTTATGGAGTTGCCATTTATGGAGGCATGATTGATTAAATCACTGGCTGTTAGTAATCAACTCGATCCCCAGTCCCATTTCCTTATTTGGAGGTCAGATGGGAGGGTTGAGTTCCAAACCTCGAAGCATGTATTTGGTTCCTCTAGCAACCAGCCCCCATCAGAAGTGATGTAGGATCCACCAAGAGCCAACTCATTAGCATAAACTCTGGTATGGCTTAAAAGGGCTTATTATGAATAACAAAAGACACTCCTCTCACCCCTATTACTCAGGAAATTGCAGGGATTTTTTAGGCATCTGTGCCAGGAACCAGAGATAGAAACCAAATACATATATTTCTTATTATATCACAGTATCATGTATATGCTGAGTTTATTTGAAGGAGTAGAGTGGTTGATTTTATGCACAGTGACCTGAGGGAAGGGAAGAGTAAAGGAGCCTTCACGGAGACCATAGAAACACAAATCTATAGAATGGATGAGAGTAGGCAGTACTGTCACCACATTGCTTGCTTCTGTTCCTATTACAGAAAAATGTCAGTATCCAACTGTCACCAAAACATCATAGAATACATTTAATACAGGTAAATTAAGAAAGTTTATGGCCTACTTCTATTTGTACTTGCTTTTTGAAAATACAGTATAGAAAAAGAATAAAAACTGACATTCTAAATTAATACTACCAAATCTATTCTCTCTCCAAATCAAGATCATGTAATAGATTGTTTAATAATAGCAAATGAAATACCTGATCTTGAATATATTATGTGATTCCTTCTTTTTATTATGTTTTTATATGATGAAAGTATATATTATAATTTCCTCTTATTACATTATTCTACATGAGTTTGCATGAAGTAGTCAGATTATATTGACATACGTTAGCATATCTCCTATCTGTGATTTTACCATCTAAAATATCCCCCTTCTGAATGACTGTCAGATAACAATGTGTGTTCAATAAGTCTTGTAGATGACAAAGTTCTGTTCTAGTAACTTTTGGCCTGAACATATTAGACTCTAAAAAAGAACATATTGTATGTTGCAAATCTCATATCATTTATCTTGTCATAATGAAGGAGCAGAGCAACAAGAGGAAAGAGTTCTTGATTAAGGTAACAGGATTAGGGGACACACATATGCACATAATAGGAAACAGGATGAGGGTTGTCTACATAGGCAGCACTGACAGACGCAGCCAGATTTGAAAATAATGCCCAAAAGGCCAATAAATTGAAGTAAGGTTGAGATAATCCTCACTGTTGGAGTTTCAGTCCAAACTCCCAAGGGATGAAGAGTAGAAAACTGGATTCTAGAAGAGTTAGTTCCAGAGTTAGTTAAGATGATGGACAATCACTTACCATGTGCAAATTTTAGGGAGCAAGCTGGAAGGAGCTGGGTAGCCCCAGGATGCTATTGTTCCAAGCAAGACTTCAGTCAAAGAGAAATAGCACAAAGTGATCCATTAAGAGAGAACACAATGGGGAAGTTCAGAAACTCAGACTCTAAATAAAGACCTAGGGCCCATCCCTAGATTCCAGGTCTGGCTGGCAGCAAAGGAGGCAAAGAATGATCAGATTCCCAGATGTAGATATCTGGGAAATATAATTTATCTCTACCTTTTTCTTTTATTTTTTTTTCTTCTTTTAAGTTTATTTATTTTAACAGAAAAAGCATGAGTGGGGGAGGGGCACAAAGAGAGAAGTAGAGAGAAAGGTATAGAGAATCCCAAGCAGGCTCCACACTGTCAGTGCAGAGTGGGGCTTTATGGTTCCACACAAGGGCCTTGATCTCATGGACATGAGATCATGACTTGAACCAAGATTCAGAGTCAGACACTTAGCCAACTGAGCCTCTATCTCTACCTTTTTCTTTTGCCTGAGTATTCCAGCTGACTTTTGGTGGTTTTAGAGCTAATGCCTGAGGAAAACCAAACACAGAAATGAGACAGAATAAGGGGTACCTGGGTGGCTCAGTCAGTTAAGCATCTGACTTTGGCTCAGGTCATGATCTCATGGTTTGTGAGTTGGAGCCCCACGTCGGTTTCTGTGCTCACAGCTCAGAGCCTGCAGCCTGCTTCAGATTCCGTGTATCCCTGTAGCCTGCTTCAGATTCTGTGTCTCCCTCTCTCCTGCTCCTCCCTTGCTCATGCTCTGTCTGTCTCTCTCTCTCAAAAATAAACATTAAAAAAAAAAAAAAAGGAAAGAAATGAGACCGAGTAACACTTAAATCACACAATGGTTTGGATTCTCCTTTGATCATAGTAATAGTTAGAATATAGCACAAATATTCTATTTAATTCCAATGAGCATGATTCCTACAAAAATCACTGTTACTTTGAAATTATCAATACAAAATGTGACTTTTTCTATAGCATTTAAAATGGAGTACCAGATATGACATTTAAAAGATGGCAGAAGAATTAAATAAAAACTTCTTAAAGGTTCGACTCAACCAAAACTCAGAATAGTACAAAGCAAGGGGTACAGATAGAGGTGCAGAAATTCCCCCTTTACAACATTCCTAACAATAGCAATCCGACCTGTTTATGAACCCCGTTAAATGCCACTCACAGTACAACCCTTTCCATTTTTGACATTTTCAATTACTAAAATATTTTTTCTTTGTTGAAGTGAAAATCTGTCCCTCACTAAGTCAAGATAGTTTACAGGGCATTCTTTTTCTTCCTTAGGTCAACTCATACAAATACAGTAGGTTAGAAGTTAACCTGGTTTACCAACTGCATTTTTTTTTTTGAGAGAGAGCATGCAGGAAAGGGACAGAGGGAGAGGGGCATAGGGAGAGAGAGAGATCTTAAGAAGGCTCTGCCCCTTAGCACAGAGCCTGACGTGGGGTTTGGTTTCATGCCTCATGACGTGAGATCATGACCTGAGCCGAAATTAAGAGTTGGTCACTTAACAGACTGAGCCACCCAGGTTCCCCTACCTACTGCATTTTTAAGTCAACCACAATTCTATTTTTAGCAGTATGCCTTTATATGCATTAAAAAGTATTTTTAAGAAAATATTATGGGGGTGCCTGGGTGGATCAGTTGGTTAGGTGACCAGCTCTTGATTTTGGCTCAGATCATGATCTCATGGTTCATGAGTTCAAGCTCTGTGGTGGGCTCTGTGCCAACAGCGTGTAGCCTGCTTGGGGTTTTTGCCCTCTCTCTCTCTCTTTGTCCCTCCCCCCTCTTGCTCTTTCTCTCTCTCTCTCTCAAGATAAATAAACATTAAAAAAAAAAAAGAAACTATTATGTAGCTTCCAAATCTAAATGCAAATTAATGAATACAAAGGAGTATTTTATATTATGGATGTACCAAACTAACATTCTCTGAAGCTAGGATGATTTTAATAGAGCATAATATCAAAAAACCCAATCGGTTGTTACAGCTAATTTTCTAGCAATGCGATTGAGTTAAGATTTAATTCCACACAAATAAACCACCTGTTTAATACAAAAGCTTTTTCCCTAGTAAAAACAGTGGCTGTATGGGACACTTGAGTGGCTCAGCCTGTTGAGTTTCGGAGTTCAGCTCAGGTCACGATCTCACAGTTGGTGAGTTCAAGCCCCACTTTGGGCTCTCTGCTGTCAGCACAGAGCCCACTTCAGATCCTCTGTCCCTCCCCCCCCCGCCCTTCCCCCACTCACACTCTCTTAAAAATGAATAAACATTTTAAAAATATATATACATGTATGTAGAATGCCTAGTTTGAAGAAGAGAGTCACTGTGTTTATGTTGTCCTAAATAAATAGCCCACATGCTTACTACAAATTTCAACCCAAGTATGGTATCTTGATGCAGATTTAAACATCATGAACATGTATGAAGTATACTTTAATCAACAAAGTGAAATGTACTATTATGTCCCACCTCAGAGCAGAGCATTTCTATCAAGCTACTACAGAGATCACAACGTGGAACTCTCAAAGCTACTACACAGACTCGGGCAGCCTTTGCCATCGTGGCTGAGACAGGAGCTGCAGAAAGTGAGATAGCACTGAGAGAACTCCTTGAGAATCCATCTTCCATGTAACATTCACCTTTCCCAAAGCTTCCAGAAGCTACCAAAAGGCTGTTTAAAAATATACCTCTTCAAATGAGAAAAAAGAACAAAGTTCCTTCCATGTGCTGGCATGTGGATGATTGGGGGGGAAAAAAGGAAAAGAAAAAATATCTGTTATGAGCCTTGAGGCCTATGGCCTTTCTCTTAATCCATATCTGAGCCTGTGGGATTATTGTAGACTACTGTGCACACGTGTGGAAGTCAACTGCAACCAATATAAGTATCAAACACAAATGCAGAATTGTTCCATTTCATAGTAATATTTACTCTTTTATATATCAACTAAGATTGTGTCTCTGTAGATTTTTAGACCACTGTTTGCCTGTATGATGTTTTCTTAATCTTTGATTCTATAAAGTGTCCTACAAAACAAGAAGCAAAAGAACCATCACAATGTAGCATAAAATGCCAAAGGCATAATACCCATGAAAAATGCTTGCCAAGATATAAATCCACTGAATATTTAGAAAGAATTGTAAATGACAATATGTGCTAGATCAGAGTGGAAAGGTTATATATGAGGTTTATGTGCATCAAAATAAAAAGATAAGCGCTATAGCAGAAAAAAGGTGATTTTTCACATATATACTCTAGTGCATTTATGTAAAAATTAATGACTCCTCTGTCATGATGTAATTGTTATACTGAGATTCATTGTAAAACCATTGAAAGGTGTATGGGAACACACTGACTATACCAAAACAGTAAATAATGATGTAAAGTGTACTCACTAGATCCTCTAACAGGGAGAAATTGTAGGGGTCTGAAGATATATTATTGACAATTTAAATCCTCTTTTTGTGAGCTACAAATCTACTCTGATAGTCCTCACTGGTCTACAAAAACACTTGCACAGAATGTGAGGAATGTGTCATCTCCAGAAACATATTGACTTTTAAAGTGAATAACTTTTTTTTAATTTTCTCCAGAACAAAATCTATTAAAGAAAAACTAAGCACAATGTCTCTAGATGATATGTTATTTACACTTAAATTATAGAAAAACTAATGTTTCCAGAGAGTTCAAAATGAAATTGCGTGATATAGAGATTTGTAACACAACAACAGTAACACTGACATAAATATCAGATTTCTAATCTGATATTTCCCATGATACTTTCGACACAAGGCAGAAAAAAATAAGTGTGGCTAAGTCCCATTTTTTAAAGAATATTTTGTGTATTCTCTTGTAGAAGACAATAAAATTTGTTAAATTTTAAAATAGTTAAATTTATGGATTATCTACTAAATTAAATGGAGGAACTACAAAGATGAGGTAGACATGATTCCTAAAATATATTTACACTTAACTTTTAAATGATCATATGATTATCATTCCAAAAATAAAAGAATCATACTTACTGACCTCTGCTTATCTTTACTTAATTTTTAAATTCATTGTACAAACAAAAAATTAATTAGAACACAAATTCCCTGTTATGATTATATAAGTCTTTAAAAACGTTATGAAAAGCATGATCAGGAAAAAAAAAGATATGCAAGGAAAAGCTACAGCCCAAATGTTTTTCTTGTAGTTACAATGTGTAAAACTAAACTCAATCAATTATTTGCTAATTAAAAACAAATTTTGAGGCCCACTTACTATAAATTTTAAAAATTACATTATAATTACTAATTAAATATTTTTTAAAAAAATTTTATGTACCCAAGTGGCATACTCATTTTTAAACAAACAAACAAATAGCCAAAAGAACTGAAGAAAGAACAAGTTTTTAAGGCCCCTACAGTAAAAGAAAATCAAAGTCATTTGGACAAATATGGTAAGCTCAGTCTCCATGCTTACTGCCACCTTTCTTAAAGCAGCACTTGCCCAGCATGGTAGGAAAATGAGTGTAGTCTTTCAACTCCACTAGTTTAATAAAATTGCCTTGAGAGGGGTACCCATGGTGAGAACAGGCCCCAGCAATTACATATGGTATCATGTTTTTATTTTGACAACACTGCTACTTGATAAAAAGAGAAAAAGAAAAACTTATACATTTATGTTTTAATGATGAGATGTGCATTTAAATTTCTAAACAAAGCTGCTAATGGCATGATTTTGTCTAGGTAAATGGAATCAGCTGAACCCACCCTTTAAGATAAGTGTTAAAAAACCTACTGGATGCTTGTGTAATGAAAGAAAAAGGAAGAGGTCATATCAAAACTGACTCATTCACAGTACAAGTATTATGCTGTCTATAGAAGCAAACCTTTGAAAGCAATTTTGAGCACTCAATGTATCTTGGAGGCAACATAAAATTCTAGAGGACATACATACTTTCTACATTGTATACTCCAGCTGATTATTATGCTATTCTAAAAGTAACATTAATAAATACAAGAAAAGAATGAGAGCTAATGTGATTTAAAACTAGCTTTGTATAGAATTCCTTTTTCATTGCTTAAAATCGGAACTTCCTCAGGAAGGAATGAAATGGTTATTTTAATGTTTATAGCTATGATATTCTTGTCATTCACATTGAATGAAAATTACTTGAAACATTTTTTTCTCTGAGTTTTTTAAAATAAAAAACTGATAGTAGCATGGTACCTCATATGTACAACAATAAACTGTGATAAGAAAATGAAGAGTTTGGGCCTGGTGATTTTAGGTAACAAGTACATGTTTGATTGTTGTGTTTGCCGGGGGAGTGGGAAGTGGTTATAAAACACAAGTACCACTAATACAACTTAAAATGGAGAGATGCATGAGAAACCTCCAATTAGGAAATAAGTTTACTTTTAATAATATAACCTCCCACAGATCCTTCTAATCAATATTAGTGATTTCTTTCTAATTCTAATAGAAATAAAGCAACTTCTAGGGTCACCCATGGGATCCTAGAGTACGGGAGTAAGAGGAACACACTTGAGAACCTGAATGATTACACCATTTCTTACTCCCAGTACTCTGGTCTGCTTCCCACCAATTAGAGCTTTAAAAGGTGTTAACTAGTCTCTCTTTTATTAAAATTCTATCAAAACAAACAATCTCTGCTAAGAAAGAAAGAAAGAAAGAAAGAAAGAAAGAAAGAAAGAAAGAAAGAAAGAAAGAAAGAAAGAAAGAAAGAGAAAGAGAGGAAGGAATGGAGTAAGGGAGAGAGGAGGTGGAGGGAGTTAGCCATAGTCTTTATTTTATTAAAATTCTATCAAAACAAACAGTCTCTGCTAAGAAAGAAAGAAAGAAAGAAAGAAAGAAAGAAAGAAAGGAAGGAAGGAAGGAAGGAAGGAAGGAAGGAAGGAAAGAAGGAAGGAAGGAAGGAAGGAAGAAGGAAAGAAAGAAAGAGAAGGAAAGAAGGAAAGAAAGAAAGAGAAGGAAAGAAGGAAGGGAGGGAGGGAGGAGGTGGAGGGATTTAACCATATTTTCCACAAACACTTTTTCTTGATTCCAGCCCTTTCTTTTCTAGATACCAGATTTTCTCATGCTGCAACACTGCCCCCCACACCTCTATCTACATATATCAATTGATTTCTGCATAGGTTTGTCTCTCACACACTTAGCTCTCCAGTCTGGAATATGTCTGACTCCCCATTTTCTGTCTAAATATGTCATCCTATGTTCCATCTACTCCAGGCCCAGCTCGTGACTGGTTAACAAACCAACCCCATCAACATTAGTGGCTTATAATGAATTATAATTTTATGCTTTCCAGAAATATCAGTACTGCAATTTCCAAGAGATATGTTTTAACCTGAATCTCTAACAAATGGGGAAGCACTGAACTGCTCAAATATTTTGGTATGAGGGAATTTCTCTAATTTCGAATTACACTCTATTGCTGAATTCTATTTTGCCAAAGCTGATTTTGCTTGATTACCACCTATAACATAGCGGCTGCCTTCTTCCTGTCCACCCCATCCTGATCACACACACCCATCCCCAATTAGTTGTCAGTCATGGAAAGAGAAATGGCTACTTGTGGTGGATAATCCTTAAGAAGTTTTTTTGTACTGTCTAGAAATGTTTACCTTCTCTTCACTTACTTTACTTAAGAGACTAAATTTCAAAAGGTCAAGCCATGTCTTGGTCAAATCAAGACAGTGTGACATGTATTCCATTCCTAGACTCTACTTTGAGTATGCCACTCACCTGTGGCCAAGTGTGCTGGGAGACTCAACGGGCCTCGCTGGATGAGTCACAGAGAGGAAATGGCAGCATTTGCACAGCTCCTGCCGTGAGAAACGAAAACTGGTATCTCCTTCTGCTACTACAGGCTCATGTTGGAAATGAGCCTGTGGGTATTGAACAGGCCTCACAATATTCCAGATCAGACGATATTCCCCACACACATTGCTCATAAGGAAAAGCATATTCCTGCCTTTTCAAAAGAGACTTCAGATGAAAGCAATGTGGATGAATGTCAAAAGACTCTTCCTATGGGCATTGCAGATCCAAGACTTACATAATAAAGGGGGCTAAGAACACAAGAGTTACAATTGAGCCTGGCCCTGAGACAAAGAGCCTAATTTAGAGTTAGGGACAGATATCCATCCTCACCCAATTGTTTCTGCTTGCAGCACCAGCCTGCAAGGCATTTGTGAGTGACTTATTCTGGCCTTGAATATGCTGATGACTCCCTGTGAAGGAACCTATTGAGGAACTTCTTTTGTGATTACAGGAGCAAAGGTGTTTCCTGAAACACCGTTTTTTCTTAATACTCCTTAAACAAGCTATTGACCCCTGCTCACAAAGAAGTAACTTCACCCTTTTTATGCTAAAAACATTGTCTGGTATGCTAAAGATACCTTCCTTCCCCATAGGATAAGCATCTAAATCCCCTATCTCAATCACTATTGATAAAGGTTATGCAGGAGTCTTCTACACATCTATGTTCTGGGAAATTCTTACATATCAAAGAAGTTTGTTATCAGAAACCATTGTCTAAGGCAAATGCCACTTCTGTGCCGTCCCCCAAACACTTAATTATAAAATAAAGTGAGCCCCAGTCAGTGCAGAGATGCCTGCCT